GCCGATTTGTTCAATGAAATAAAAATTTTTTTTACTTGGAATGAAGTTTAATCTGTAATGTATTTTCCATTTTGTTCGATGACCTTTTGCCATCTCTCTGACAGCTTGAAAATTCCACGCTCGTAGAAAGTCTGATCCTTTTCGGTCAAAAACTGAGTTCAGTGAGATTTTACAGCTTCATCATCATTAAAAGTTTTACCACGAAGGGAGTTGTTCAGGGATCGAAATGAGTGGTAATCCGATGGCGCGAGATCGGGGCTATATGGTGGGTGTAACGTCAATTCCCAACCAATATCCATCAATTTTTGCCGAGTGGACAAAGACGTGTGCGGCCTAGCATTGTCCTGCTGGAAAATGACACCGTTACGATCGACCAATTCTGGTCGCTTTTCCTTGACCGCTGCATTCAATTTGTCCGGTTGCTAATATTCGCGGATAATAAAAAATAACATAATAATAATAATAATAATAATTTTATAATATAACATTTACGGATATCATAAAAATGGGAGTGAGAGATATCTATAACTGAAATCGGCTATTACTTAGTTGCCAACCCAATAGAATGAATTTATTCTATTCGCGAAACCCATCCGTAATGTTGACTTCCGTCTGACAAAGAAACGGGAGGAGGCTTTGACGTCGTTGCTCCGACGTTTGCATACAAGTTTCATTACGTTCCTTATTGTGAGTTTCTTATTGTCAGACAGAGACAAAGGCACGATTCGCGCGCGTTTCTGCGATCAACGAGTTTCCGCCGCGGGGCAACTAAAACTCTGTTGATCCAGTCGGGACGATCTCTGAAAAGTTGCCAACTTTACGTTACGTAACTTTTACGACACCGATTCGTCGATCTTCGAAGCGGATTTCTCGATACTGATTCGGAAAACTGCGATTGTCAATTTTGCTGCTTAATCGTCGAATATTTGTATCGATGCGCGCTTTAACAAATTTATCATCGGGTTTTCAATATACGCTCCAATAATTGCAATTACTAAATGGAAATCAATTTTGCTGTTTAAATCGCCGAATCGCTTTAACAAAATTATCGTTGGATTTTCAAGACGAAAACGAACAATTGCAATTGGTAAATTGAAATCAATTTTGCTGTTTCAATCGTCAAATTCTTGCACGAACTTGTCACCGTGCTTGAAAAGCAGTTTTAATTAAGATTTCATAAATGAATAATAATAATAATAATAATAAATAGTAAGTAAAAATAGTAAGTAAAAAATAAATAGTACAAAATAAGTAGTAATAAACAGTAAACTACTTCGTTACAGAAACTTTAAGAGGATTCACGAACAATAGAAAGAAAGAAAAAGATAAAATATAAAAGAAATAGATAAAGTAAATCCAGTGATGATAATGAATATAAATTAAACGGCAATCAAAGAAAAAAGTAAAAAACAATAATTGATAATAACAATAACAATGAAAACCAAACGAATGCAGCTTCGTTGGAGTCTACGAAACGTAAGAAGGTAACAAAAGCAATCGTTGCGCCAAATCGTGTCTCTTCCATTCGCGTGCATTGCTAAATAAATTATATATCTATTATATATTATAATATATAATAATATAAATATATAATAATAATAATATATATTATTTATTTATTATATTATTATTATTATAAATTATTATATTATTGAGCAGTACGATGAACGTGTTAGGGGATATGCATGATATCTTCTTACCTTTCCCATTCGCGTGCATTGCTAAATACAGTAATGTCTCCCTAATTGACGCTCAGATCGTCCACAAAAATGGACAATTTGGGAAGAGAAGCCTTGCGAATTCGAGCCTTGCAACTCGTTTTTATAGTTACCGATTGTCAACGATTATAAAAACATAATACAAAGCCGGAATAATCGTATCTCCTGTTCCCAAATTGTTCACTTTCCTGCACAATCTAAGCGTCAGTTAGGGAGACATTACTGTAAATTGTTCCAATATCGCAGCACTATTCTGAGCAGTACGATGAACATGTTAGGGGATATGCATGTTATCTTTCTTACCTTTCCCGATCGCAGGAATCGGTAAGCAGCTCGCTGGCACTGCGGCTGCGGGCCTCTTCCGGGCGTCCCGCCGGATGTCTGTCGGTGATGTCCTCCCTGGGGAGCCTCGCGATCTCTGGATCCCTATCGACATGGGAAGAGACCAGCCGGGGGTCCGCGGCGCCGCGACTTTTCCGCCGGAAGATTTTCCTGAGGCCTCTCAGCGGATGGAATCGCCGTTTCTTCGGCTCTGCGAACACCGAACAGGGAAACGATCTTCAATGGCGGCTTGTAAGGCGCCGGATACCGACGAAAATTATCGAGTACTCTTCACGGGTGTTTCCGAGTACTCGAACAACTGCAGCGTGACCGCAACAGGGAGCCAGACAATTAGTCGGCCCGATATCTCGCGTGAACTTTCTCTCGGAATTGCGTAACGCGAACGCTGGCTCGGCTCGTTCGCTCGTTCGTTCGCTGGCGCGATGTTTACGCTGGACGAACGCCGTGTCAATCGGAGAAGAATATTCGAAACTGTGCCATCCGGACCTACGAAGCTCTGGGATCTCGGCGAGACTTCACCCCGCGACGGTTACTTCATTATCAACTTCCTTGATAATTAACGTTTCTTATCAACGCAGCTGTTTATCGCAACTTCTCCTCGGTACACACACGCCTGCGATTTTTAACACTTTATCTACCGGCAATTTTCTGATTGTCTCTTTAAAGTAGACGATCGACGGTGGAGAAGTTTTGATTAAATTGTTCAAAAGCTGCTATCATGTTTTTGATAAGAAATAATTATCGAGCTTCTATTAGGTAGAACTTGGTCGTTAAAGGGCACATTGATAGTTTTCTGGTAAATAAAGTGTTAAGCACCTGCGACAACAATTTTTCTATATTTAAAAAATGATATAATTTTGTCTGTGACAGGAGCACTTGAATAATTCAACCGTGGACCTTGATGCAGTTATGACAAAAATGCATACGTCAATCAATAATGCAATAGCCAGAATTGTAGAAGAATTTGAAAATACTATTATTTATTCATTTACTTATTTACTGAAATAACGGGCCTAAGACCGACGTAACGTACAGAGAATGAAGAAATTTAAAAGAATGTAGAACGTGACGTGCGACATACAAATGAGGTTACAAGGCTGCCCTCCGCATGTTAAGTAATGTCGCTTTGCAATTGTAGGCATTGCCACTGAAAAGTCCGATTTTATCAGCGACCGCACCAGCATAAATACGGATTCGGGTGATGGGACCATCGAACTTAAAATCACCTTTAAATTTCGGTATAAAATAATAATAGTTCGGTTTAAAATTCGCTATAAAAATCGAAGTGAGAATATAGTACACCCAGAGGTATTAAAGTTAACTAAATTAAGCAACGTTGAACAATCGATAACATCATTAATCATTTTAAATAAGAAAAATACATCTGCAGCGATCCGCTTATTGTCCAATGTAAACAAATTGAGAGCAAGCAAGATAGGGCCACAGTTATACAGTAAATTCTCCCGAATTTTCCTGCAGCTTTTAAACAAAAATGGACAATTTTGGAAGACGATTATTCGAGCCTCGCGGCTCGTTTTTATAGTATTATATTATTATTATATTATAATATATATATTATAATACTATTATATTATTATTACATTATATTATATTATTATATTACATTATATTATATAGTATTATATTATATTATTATATAATATATATTACATATTATAATATTATTATATTATTTTTATATAATATATATTATATATTATAATATTATTATATTGTTATTATATTATATTATATTATTATTCCCAGATTGTCCACTTTCGTGCACAATCCGAGCGTCAATTGGGGAGAATTTACTGTACCCAAGCCACGAGAGATGAATCCGAGAAACTTTCCGTTGAGTTTCTTCGGTAAGAGCGGTTCGTGGTCTTTGCGATTCATTAAAATTAAATCGACACGAAATAGATCTCAGCAAATTGTCCGGAGCAAGGTAAGCCTACTAAATTTTGCTCGGAGAAAGTTATTAAGCTCCTGTCGGATGTAACGCATCTCTACGAAGGTGCATTCTAGTTCACGGACGAGAATCCCAATCAAACACATCAGAGGCAGCTAAAGCAAACGCGCACGGGTCCGTGGTAAAAGAGAGGACGTGGCCGGCACACAGGTTCTCCGAGCAATTAGCGGCGATGTCCGATCGAAAGTAAACAGATAATGTCGCGCCGATAGTGCAGTCTGCTGGGTCTATCGATCGCGGGACGACGGATCGCGATCGGATAATCTCGGCCGAAAGGAACTTTAGCCCGGAGTGGCCCAGTTCGAGGGGACCTCGGGAGAATTCCGAGGCACGGACGAGGCCGAAGGAAAATCGAATTTCCACGCCGGGAAACGATTTAATTCGCTCGACTGACCCACTTCCCGTCGACGCAATTTCATCCCGCGCGATCAAACTATCCCTCGCGATGGAGGCTGCGCGACCCTCGGACTCCTAATAACCTTCGTATTCCACTCATTAACCACTTGACATACGAATAAAATGTGCATCGACGCGTCCGAAGAATACTATTTAATTTGGCTCAACTGGACACTCATGTACAAGCTCAGAAACAGGGCCTTTTCTTTTTAAAGTTACATTGCTATATAACATTCAATAGGGTTGAAGTATGGTGTTAGTGTACAACAATTAAGTAATAGTATAAAATAATAATTTAATAATTTTGTAATGTGTGATACATCTCAAAGCATTTAGTAATATGTAGCGAAACGAGGCATATTTTACACTGCCAAGTTGTTTCACTTCTTATATTATGTTTTACGCAAACATGGCATCTTTTTGCAGGATGTTGCTTTTTATTTGTCGCGGGTATATGTTCAGGAAAATGTGCCCCATATTTTGCTTGTAACCGAGTTGGGCATTCACTTTGCGACCGTCTGCCGCGTGTCGGTTAGTCCGGCAGGGACAAATTACAAAGCATGTCTTCTGCAATATTCAATCGAAAATTCACAATCGATTGCTTTTGTGAAGTAGGCAATTTGGAATATAAAACATAAGCATTATAAATAACTACATCAAACATATAAAAAAATATTTTTTTATATCCTTTTGCACATTTTCTCATGAGGGGGAAACATGCAAGAGATTGGTCCTGCTTGTCTACACCTTCCATTCCACGATTATACTCCAGAACACAGGTCGGTTTTATTTGTCGATGCAATTTTGTTTATCGGTACTGTTAGGAGGGGGAAAGCATCTCCAACAGTCTAAACAAGACAGCATCAATGCACGACCGAAACAATTAAAGAATCTAATAATGAAATGCACGGCGTTCGCCGAATACAGTTCTTGACATCTTGGAGACGTCAAAGTCTACAATGGCACATGAAGTAAATGACGTCTCCCAGACGTCATTGTATGTCAAGTGGTTAAGTCTACGCTGCCCGGTACGATCACAGAGCATCATCTTTGTCGCAATTTTCCTGGTTCAGCTGTTTCGTTCTGGCATGCTCATGCGTACAGGGTGTTTCATCCGAACGGTCGCACCGATTTTCGAGGCACTTCCGCTGATCTGACAAAAAAATGTTTCGAATAAAAGTTAACGAGTACGGTAATGTCTCCCTAATTGACGCTCGGATCGTGCAGAAAAATGGACAATCTGGGAAGCGGAGATACGATTGTTCGAGCCTTGCAGATCATTTTTACGGTTGTTGACAATCGATAACCATAAAAAGCGAGCCACAAGGCTCGAACAATCGTATCTCCTCTTCCAAAATTGTCAAGTTTTGTGGACAATCTGAGCGTCAATTAGAGAGACATTACTGTACTTCGAGGAGAACAAGCAGCAATAATAAAAATTTCGAAAAATTTGTTTATCCGATTAAAACTTTGACGCCTTGTCTTTCTTTTAAATAGCACTATGTATTTTTGATCTTACGGCGTTACAGCCGATCGTAAAACGAATTCAACGACCTGCTGCGCAACGAACTTCGAATGAATTTTAGCTTAGAAATTCGCAATTTTCCTGCGCGTTAGTGAAACGCGCGAGTAACACGGAGTCAGCGATACATTCGAGCTGACTGTAAACAGTAAAGGTCAACGTGTAGTAGGTCGTTGAATTCGCTTTTCTTTTTTTTTCGTCAGATATAACGCTATGAAGTCAAAAATACATAGCGCTATTTATAAAAAGTCAAGGTGACCCGAGCTTCTTATCCAATAAAAAGTGTTTTGCGAAATTTTTATTATTACACTTTTTGTTCTCCTCGAGGTACTCGTTAACTTTTATTCGGAAGTCAGCGATACATTCGAGCTGACTGTAAACAGTAAAGGTCAACGTGTAGTAGGTCGTTGAATTCGTTTTTTTTTCGTCAGATATAACGCTATGAAGTCAAAAATACATAGCGCTATTTATAAAAAGTCAAGGTGACCCGAGCTTCTTATCCAATAAAAAGTGTTTTGCGAAATTTTTATTATTACACTTTTTGTTCTCCTAGAGGTATTTGTTAATTTTTATTCGGAAGTCAGCGATACATTCGAGCTGACTGTAAACAGTAAAGGTCAACGTGTAGTAGGTCGTTGAATTCGTTTTTCTTTTTTTTTCGTCAGATATAATGCTATAAAGTCGAAAATACATAACGCTATTTATAAAAAGTCAAGGTGACCCGAGCTTCTTATCCAATAAAAAGTGTTTTGCGAAATTTTTATTATTACACTTTGTTTTCCTCGAGATACTGATTAACTTTTATTCAGAACATCTTTTTGTCAGATTAACGTAAATGTCTGAAAAATCGAACACCCTGTACACAAGAATCTGATTGTTGCAAACGGAACACGTTATCGACGAATCGACACGAACGGAACGACGAACTCGTTGACGAGTTAACACGATCGCTGGACTGTGGATTTTTATGCAAAGTAAAGGTTGTTCGCGTTGTTTTTGCAAATAGACGCTGCGTCGATGTTCGCGTTTCTGTCGTTAATTATTGTAATAAGTTGGAAATAATGCAACGGTGATCGTAAATTCTTGAAACGGTTTCACCATTTTACCTTTTAATTGTCATTAAAAGCGATACGTTCCGTCGATTAGGCCCACAGCCTGTGTCGTCGTCGAATATCCATACTAATCCTTGCATCGGCACACACATGTATGTATGTATATTCTTCGTAAGCAAACGCAATTATTTGAACACGTGCGCATGCATAAGCTCTCCGTATGCGATCGTACACTTTATGAACGCGTA